CCCATCGAGTCTACAACGACTCTCCAAACCGCATCCCACCCAGAACCACCACTACACTCCCCCCTCAACCAACCCTACCGTGTAACCCTGCATTTCCCATGGGTAACCCACACAGCCTGCACATCCCTGGGCACTACGGGACAATTTCCCATGGCCAATCCACCCTAACCTGCACAATCCCTGGGCACTACGGGACAATTTCCCACGGCCAATCCACCCTAACCGGCACATCCCTGGACACTACGGGACAATTTAGCACGGCCAATCCAACCTAACCGGCACATCCCTGGACGCTATGGGGCATTTTAGCACGGCCAATCCACCCCAAACTGCACATCTCTTATAGCACGGCATTGGAGGTGAACTGAAGTTCAGATGTTGCCAATATCCAGTTTTGACCAGCAAATGAAATGCTGTAAATAATCCTCAGCAACTGGAGTAAACATTACACTCGGCTGACAACGGGCTGACTGACCATTAGCTCAGGGCCAGTAAGGAAGATGTGCATTTATATAGCACCTTTCGCAACCTGCAGCAATTTTTCAAATTAATTCATGGCAAGGCTGACATTTGTTGTCTGTCCCTGATTGTTCTTGAACTGAATGGCTCGCTCAGCCATTTCTGAGGGCAGTTCAGAGTCCACCATATCGCTGAGAGTCTGGAGTCACATGTAGGCCAGACCGGGTCAAGACAGCAGATTTCCCTTCTGTCATGGGCATTCGCCAACCAGATGGTTTTTCTATAATTCACTCACGGGATGTGGGGGTCACTGGCTAGGCCAGCATTTATTGCCCATCCCTAATTGCCCCGAGGGCAGTTAACAGTCCACCGCACTGCTGTGGGTCTGGAGTCACGTGTAGGCCAGGCCAGGTAAGGATGGCAGTTTCCTTCCCTCATGGGCATTGGAGACCCGGAGGGGTTTATCCAACCATCATGGTCATCACGAGACTCTCAGCATCTGTCCTGGCGGGATCTGAACTCAGCTTCCCAGAATGTTAGCAGAAATTCTAGATTCATAAAAACTGAGAGATCTGCGGATGCTGGAAATCAGAAACAAAACCAGAAATTGCTGGAAAGGCTCTGGCAGCATCTGCGGAGAGAAAGCAGAGTTAACACTTTGGGTTCTGAGGAAGGGTCACTCGACCCGAAATGTTAACTCTGATTGCTCTCCACAGATGCTGCAAGACCTGCTGAACTTTTCCAGCAACTTCTGTTTTTGATTCTGGATTAACAGTCTAGCGATAAAACCACCAGACCATTGCCTCGCCAATTTTATGACAACTGATAATGGCTGCCATTTGACTAGTTTTATGGTCCAGATTTGTTTGGGAACCTGTGTCCCCAGAACGTCAGCCTGGGCCTCTGAATTCTTCCCAGGAATATTAGCATCATACCTCTGTCCTATCCTGAACATCCAATTAGCGTGTAGTCACTGCTGCTCTCTCAGAACCCAATGTACAGACAGCGAGCTCCCACAAACAATGACATGTTAATGACCAGATGATCTGTTTTTTAGTGATGTTGATTGAGAGGTAAATACTGGCCCCAGGACACTGGATAGTTCCTCGTTAAATAGGGACTTGTTAAAATTCATTCACGGGATGATGGTGTCGCTAGCTGGAGTCATTTGTAGGACAGACCGCAGAGGAAACAGGTCAAAAGAGTTGACAATGGATTCACAGTCATTATTAAATTCTTAATTCCAGATATTGATTGAATTCATATTCCACCATCTGCCATGGTGGGATTCGAACCTGGGTCTCTGGATTGACAGTTCAGCGATAATATCACTAGGTCATTGCATCTTTGCTGTCTGCCTGATGTCAGCTGGGGCCTCAGTTTAACCTCTCATCTGAAAGTTCTACATGATAAAACAGCTGTCTTTCGAATTAAACCCAGACCCACTTCTGACGTAGAGCTCTGTCCATGCGTTTCCAGTCACCGTCTGCTTTCAGAGATAGTAGGAACTGCCGATGCTGGAGAATCTGAGATAACAAGGTGTACAGCTGGATGAACACAGCAGGCCAAGCAGCATCAGAGGAGCAGGAAGGCTGATGTTTCAGGTCTAGACCCAAAACATCAGCTTTCCTGCTCCTCTGATGCTGCTCGGCCTGCTGTGTTCATCCAGCTCTACACCGTCTGCATTCAGTCCTGTTCAGAGTAAACACAGACAATCCCCGCCTCTGTACGCTCTGTTAACTAAACCACACTGCATTCTCAACATTCTCACAAGTTTACTCCTGCCAGATTGTCTGAACTGAACATAAATTTCTGTGCACCAAAACAACATGGATCGTGAATTGGCTTGAGAGCAAGAGGAGCCACGACTAGATCATTTTCGGGTTAGCAAGGTGTGATGAAGGGGTGTCACAGGGATCAGCGCTCGCACCTCAACTATTGGCAATCTACATCAATGGCTTGTACACAGAGCAAAGGTGTGGTTGTGAAATTTGCTGATGATTCGAAGATTGGTTGGAAATTAAAGTTCTGAAGAGGGTATACGGAATCTTTATTTTTAATTCATTTGCAGTACGAGAGTGTCGCTGACTAGATCAGCATTTATTGCCCAGAGAGTAGTTAGGAGTCAACCACATTGGCTGTGGGTCTGGAGTCACATGTAGGCCAGACAGGGTAAGGGTGGCAGTTTCCTTCCCTAAAGGAGGTTGGTGAGTCAGATGGGTTTTTCTGACAATGGCTTCATGGTCAGTTGTAGATTCCTGATTTCAGCTTTTTATTGAATTAAATTTCCACTACCTGCCATCGTGGGATTCGAACCCAAGTCCCCAGAACATTACCAGGATGGTAATCTCTTGATTAATAATAACAGTACGATACAGCACAGGAGCAGGCCCTTCAGGCCACCAAGCCCGTGCCGATCACTAATCCTTATTTAGACCCGCTACTTATTGCCCATATGTGGTTTCTAACCCGCCATTCGCCTCCCCCATTCGTGTGTCACCAAGATACGCCTTAAATGTTGCTAACGTGCATGCTTCCACCACCTTCACCGGCAGTGTGTTCCAGGCACCCACCACCCTCTGTGTGAAACATTTTCCCCACACATCCCCCCAAACCTTCCCCCTCTCACCTTGAACCTGTATCCTCTTGTAGTTGATCTTTCCCACACTGGGAGTAAGCCTCTGACTATACACCCTATCTATACCTCTCATAATTTTGCAGACCTTTATCAGGTCGCCCCTCAGTCTCGGTCTTTCCAGTGAAAACAATCTGAGTTTATCCAACCTCATAACTAAAACCCTCCAGAACAGGCAACATCCTGGTAAACCTACTCTGCACCCTCCCTAAAGCATCCACGTCCTTCTGGGAGTGTGGCGATCAGAACTGCACACATTATTCCAAATGTGGCCTAAATAAAATTTTGTACAGCTGTAACAGAACTTGCCAACTTTTATATTTGATGCCTCTGGCCAATGAAGATGAGCATGCAGTATGCAGTATCCACCTTGTCCATCTGTGTTGCCACTTTCAGGGATGTGTGGACTTGTATACCCAGATTCCTCTGTATGTCAATGCTCCTAAGAGTTCTGCTAGTTGTTGTATAACTCGCACCTGAATTTGATCTTCAGTCGAGCAATAACAGCCCTGGGCCATCACTACCCCTATATCTGCAGAGGTGCAGCGATGGGCTAAGATTTTTTTCTTTATTCATTCACGGGATGAGGGTGTCGCTGGCTAGGGCAGCATTTATTGCCCATCCCTAATTGCCCAGAGGGCAGTTAAGAGTTAACCATTTGCTGTGGGTCTGGAGTCACATGTAGACTAGACCAGGTAAGGATGGCAGTTTCCTTCCCTAAAGGACATTAGTGAACCAGATGATCAAATTCCACCATCTGCCGTGGCGGGATTCGAACCCAAGCTCCCAGAACATCAGCTGGGTCTCTGGATTAACAGTCCAGCGATAATACCACTAGGTCATCACCTCCCCTATGAGTGAGTACAACACAGGAAAACATGAACTGGTTCACTTTGACAGGAAGAAGAGAAGAACAGAATATTTTTCATTCGAGAGGGAGATTGTAGGGAGCCTGAAGTACAGAGAGATGTGAACATCCTGTGACATGAACGATAGGAAGGGAGCACGCATGGAAGTGGTTAAGGACAGAGCTGGAATGCTGGCCTTTTGCTGCAGGAGGAACAGAATCTAAATGCAGGGAGAAGGATAAAGTATCGTGGGGAGTGGAGGCGGGGGGACCAACGCTGGAGATCTGATCGAGCGTAGACTCAAAACTCTGCTGCTCCCTTCACAGAAGCTGCCAGACCTGCCGAGTTCGCCCAGCCCTTTCTGTTTTTACTCCTAAAACCAGAGGCATCTTGCCACAATTGAACTGGGCATGAGTGAGATCACATCTGCAGGACCACCCTCTGGGGCAGTGGGCTCTAAAGCTTCCCCCACCCTCTGAGTAAAGAAGTTCCTCCTCCTCTTCATCCTCATTGGTTCAGACAGCGTGGGTTGCCCGCCCCTGCCCTCTACAAACAGAAACCCCTCTGACCGCCCACCCTATCAAAGCTCTTATAAGGGAAGGGGCAGTGAGGTCACTGATCCAACATTGAGGACATTAACAGCAGGGAATAGATGGGAGGAGTGGCCCCTTTAGGGGGTTTAGCATCGTAGGATGCAGGTATAAGTGTGGTCTCTTTATTTGAGAAACGGCACAATTGCAGGAGAATCAATTCAACGGAAGTGGGTTCCGGGGTTTGGGGGGGCAGGTTTATGACGGGAGAGAAGATTAGATCGTTTGGGACGGAGGGGAATGAGTGTGATCTTACAGAAATGTGTAAGATCCTGAGGGCAATGTGGCAGGCGTGGGAGAGACTAAAGCTTGGGAGCCCAAGCATAAAACAAAAGAGAAGCGGGTGCCAGAAATCTGAACCAAGATCTGAAAGTGCAGGTCCGGGGAGAGAGAAAAACAAACAGAGTTAACATTTCGGCTGACTGTTTTTCAGGCGATGAAGGATCGTGATAACTCTACAGTACTCACATTCGGAGTACGGCAGATCGTTTGCCAAGCATCATGGTGACAAAGTCGCGGTAGGAGATGGTCTCACTGCTGCCTCCTGTCACTTCAGCAATCAACTTCTTCACCTCCAGGTGAGTCTTAGGCATTCCCAGTTTCTCCAGCATCTGCTTCAGGCCCATCAGATCTGAATGGGGAAGATGATCAGCCATGATAGACTTGAGGATCCACGTAGCCTTAAATCCTGACAGACCAATATCACATGGGGAGGGCTGGGGGGGGAAAGAGGCCAATCAGCCCTTCTGCCTCCTATTAACACCGATGCTAACCCCATCATTGGCCTGACCCTGGAGATATTGCCTGTACTCCTAGCATTGACATGGCTCCCACAGGTATCACGTCCCCTGAGGGTGGGGGAGTGGTCATGGGAAACCCAGATTATTGATTTGGATTCCCTTCGATTCGATGCTCACCCGACTCTGGTCCTTTCCAGCACCGGTGGTCTTTTCGTTCCAGCACCCCAGAGTCAGGTCATTGGCTCCCAATTTCGATATTTAAAGGGGGTTCCCATCGCCCGAAACGAGGAAGGAAGACGAGCCCAACACCCTCCACAAGCAATTCCTTTTGGAAAACACGCCAGCCGCATCATTGGGCGGTTACGTGGAGTCAGCAGCACAGAAACAGGCCATTCAGTCCATCTAGTCCAAGGCAGCATTGATGCTTCACGTGAACCTCCTGTGGTAAGGTCAGATGATCCTCAGCCTATCCTCCCATGCCTCTTTTTTTTTCCCCCGTAAGGCATCTCAATTATTCACCCTGACCACTCTGCACGGGGACCAGCTCCCCGTTCTCACTGCTCTCTGGTTAAAAACAGCCTCGTCCGAAGCTCCCTGATTGGATTTATTGGACATTATTGGATGTATTAGTAACTAACTTATGTTTGTGTGCATAGAAATCTAGGAACAGCAGGAGGCCATTCAGCCCCTCAATTCCATCATAGCTGATCATCTTCCTCAACACCACTTTCCCCTTACTCTCGCCATATCCCTTGATATCATTAGTAATGAGAAGCCTCTTAATTTCTGCCGTCAACTTATTTGATACTGGGATCTCCACTATCCTCTGGGGCAGTGGGCTCCAAAGCTTCCCCCACCCTCCGAGTAAAGAAGTTCCTCCTCCTCTTCGTCCTCATTGGTTCAGACAGCGTTGGTTGCCCACCCCTGCCCTCTACAAAGAGAAACCCCTCTGACCATCTACCCTATCAAAGCTCTTATAAGGGAAGGGACAGTGAGGTCACTGATCCGACATTGAGGACATTAGCAGCAGGGAAAAGATGGGAGGAGTGGCCCCTCCAGGGCAGGGGTTTAGCCATTTACACATCCAGGTTGGATGTGTAAATGGCCTGGAGGTAGTCAAGGAGCACGGTTAGAAGGTGTGGTGCTCAGGAAGAGGGGTTGGGGGGGGGGAATAGGTGCGTGCCAAACAGGCTGAATGGCCTTGCTCATTATAGCAGGGGCGAGTTGGTGATGGTTAATGAATGCCAAGTGTGCAAACGCAAGCTTTTTGGGGTGTTCATTTCCACAGATGTCCATGAGTCACTGCGATGACTCAACGAAATCTTCACTGACTTGTGAAACAGAATGGGAGGGCCCCCAGCCAGAAGACCAGGTTTGCAAGAACAAACCGAGAGTTATTCCTTGATCTTCACTGGGTCAGAAACTGAGGAACTCGCCTCCCAACATCACCTTCACCACAATAACTACCGGCCTTTGCTACAGACACCCACAGACCTAGAACGAGTAAGATCAATAAATTGTTTGGGAACCTCCGTTGGTTATTACACTCCTGCCTAGATAACCAGCTCTGGGTGTGTTGCCACACATTCCTTCTGCTGGCCTCCTACAGACAGTCGCAAACTCTTTTCGTTTGCAAACCAAAGCCAGCAAGGTTACTTACTGGAGCTCAAAGTTATCAGGGGTTTTGATAGAGTACAGAAGGGGAAACTGTTTTCACTGATAGGAAAGTCAATAACAAAAGGACACAGATCTAGCAACACTGGCATCAGGAAACAGAAAGGAGAGGCTGTTTTTCACACAGGGAGTCGCAAGAGAAACGGTGATGGAAGCAGATTTGAGAATCTCATCAATACTTGGGGGTGGGGGGGGAAAAAGAAAGGAGAAATTTGCAAGGCACTGGGGAAAGGGCAAGAGTGAAGCGTGTTGAATTGGATAGGATTTCTGAACAGCCAGTACAGGCATGATGGGCTGAATGGCCTCCCGCTGCACTGTGTGGTTCTGAGTTTCCATCATTTAAATAATGAGTTGTGGGGGGGGGAACGTTAAATGAATGACCTCGAATGAAATTAAAGGGAAGGTGCTGCGAATTCACTAGGAATCAAAGCTGTACAATGTCAGGTCACCACACCTTTCACATGCTGTAAAAGATATTAGGGACAGGAAGAGGCTATTCAGCCCCTCAGCATGACACTGCTATTCAATCATGGCTGATCTTCTCCTTCAACTCCAAATCCCTTAGAGCTCACTGTCCTTAGCTTGAATATATTGAAAAGAAACAGGAATGGGAGAAGGCCACTTGGCCCCTCAAGCCTGTTCTATCACTGAGTACTCAGAATTTCTTTGGGATGAGGATTCTGAAGAGTCTCAATCTGCTGAGTGAAGGAATTTCTCCTGGTCATCATTAGGCTCTTAATTCCAGATTTTAACTGAATTCAAATTCCACCATTTGCCATGACAGGATTTGAACCCAGGCCCCCAGATTATTACCTGGGTCTCTGGATTAACAGTCCAGTGATAATACCACTAGGCCATCACCTCCCCCATGATCGTCTATTTTCAATTCTCAAGATGGGGCAGGAGCAGGCGGATGGGGCTAGTTTACTTTGGGATTATGTTCAGCATGGGCTGGTTGGACCAAAGGGTCTGTTTCCATGCTGTATGACTCTATGTGGACATAGCCTCTCGGAAACAGCCCCATCAAAACCTTGAGGAATTCGACACTTTTCAATCTCCCCAATGAAGTGCGACATAAACGCAAGTTTTTGTTGTTGTCATTCTCGGAAGGGGCTGAAGGTCAGAATGGGGGAAGATACAAAGTGTTACAAACCATATGGGCAGATCAAAAACGGGCCACTCAGCCCAAGTCTCTCCTGGCCTTCGTGCCCCACACAAGGCTCTGCCCAACCACCAGCAGATCCTGTTGTCTCTTTCTCGAACACCATGCACCTCGGCCACTGCCTGTCAGTGAAGGCTAACTGATAGTGACCTTGAAAATGTGGGACAACAGTCACAGAAATTACTGAGTTATTACAGTGCTGAAGGAGGCTATTCATCCCCTCATGCCTGTGCTGGCTTTGTTGTCTAGTCTAGCCCCATTATCTTGTGTCAGTCTCCTGCCTTTTCCCCAGAACTGCACACAATACTCCAGCTGCAGAGATTCTATATCGTTGAAGTGAGACATTTTTATGCCTCTACTTGACAAGACAAGACCAAATGCGCTGGCACAACTCTGAGAGTGTTCTACGTTGCTTCGGTTGCTGGATTAATGGTCTAGCAATAATACCACTCGGCCATTCCCTCTCCGACAGTGCTTCGACCTCCTGTCCTGCCACCTTCAATGATCCATGCTCATGAGGAAGTGGAAGGGCCAGGCAAGACCAGGCTGGGGGAACACCTTTGCAACACCAGCAGAGACCACAAGCGAAGAATATTAAACTCTTGCCACTTTGGAAAGCAGAGCAACAGGAAAAGTGCTGGCAGGGGGATAGATCAATGTTCACCTCAATGTCATGTCAACCTCAGACAGAGTATTGAGCTCTTTGCGTGTGTGTGTTATACGCTGTAGGACTCACCAATGTCACCTTGGTCATTGAGGTCAAATTCCATGTACTTCTCTGCAAAAAAAAACAGACAGAAGCAGGATGAGCCGAATCCCAACATACTGCTGACTACAGTAACAACAACACCTGCTGGCGTTCCTCACCGATAAACCTTACCGAGGATTTATAGCATCCCGATTAAAAACTAAACTCAGAATTGTACCAGTTTTACTTTTTGAAATGGCCATAAAGAGAAGCTTGCACTTATATGGTGCCTTTCAGGTAGTAAAACATGCCAATGCGCTTCACACTAACCCCTGCCAAACAGCATTTCACATCGAGCCACATCGGGAGATATTCAGACACGTGACCAAAAGCTCTGTCAAACAGATGGATTGTAAAGAGGATCTGAAAGGAGGAGACACAGTGAGAGAGGAGGGAGAGAGGGAAAGGGAGGGGTGGGAGGGGGGGAGGGGGTGAGAGAGGGGGGGGGGGGGGAGAGAGAGAGAGTGCGGAGAGCGCGAGAGGGGTAGAGAGAGAGCGGGGGGAAGAGAGAGAGAGAAGTGGGGCGAGGGGGAGAGAGAGAGAGAGAGAGGGAGGGAGAAGAGAGGGGGTGGAGGGAGAGACAGAGAAGGGGGGGAAGGTGAGAGCAAGGGAGAGGTGGGGTGGAGGGAGTGAGAGAGAGAGTGGAGGAGGAGGGAGAGAGAGAGAGAGGTTAGGAATGGAATTCCAGAGCTTAGGGCCCAAGCAGCTGAAGGCACAGCTGGGAATCCAGATTCTCAAAAGGCCAGAATTAGAGGAATGCGGACACCCAGGGGGGTTGTGGGATCGAGGGGGTCAAAGACACAGGCTGGGATTGGAAAACAAGGAGGACAGTTTTGAAATGGATGTGTTTAGCCACATGTGAGACAGTGTAGCTCAGAGAGCACAGGAGCTGCTGGGTGAACAGGGCCGGTCTGGGCTAGGAAGCAGCCAGCTGAGTGTTGGGCAGAGGGTGGAAGGTCGAGGCTAGTCAGGAGTGACTGGAATCGCTGAATATGGAGGGAATAAAGGTGTGGATAAGGACATCAGCAGTGGGCAGGCTGAGCCAGGGGCAGAGATGGGGTGATGTTCCATTGGCGGAGTGCTCGGTGGTCTGGGTGAGAGAGTGTTCACCGCTCAGACTACAGCAGACAAAAGGTAAGTGTCATCACCATCTCCCCAAAAGCAGCTGGAGATGGGCAATAAATACGGTGAAGGCCCACAGGGGGCACCATATTGGAACTGAGGGATGCTGCAGCAGGATTATGGTGCCATCCTCAGCCTGAGTAAGCCAGAGTCACCCTCATGAACCCTGGGGGAGGGCTGAATTTAATAAGTAGACTCTTTACAAACTCAATCTGCAATCCATAGATGTACCACATACTGCGGTAATCAGTGCTGAAGGACATCTATCAAGGCAGCTGGAGACATGGGCATCAGTGATCATCAGAGGGCACAATTACTTCAGGTGTAGCAGCTTCCCGGCTGCTAAAACACATAGATTGCTCACTTGGCCAAACAGCAAGGAATGCTGGGTATATCGGCCAAGTAAAACTGAAGTTACAAACGCCACACACCAGAAACAGTACGAACACAGCAGCTAGATGCTAATGACATTTTTTTCTTTATTCATTCACGGGATCACGGGCATTGCTGGCTAGGCAGCATTTATTGCCCATCCCTAAGAGCCAACCACATTGCTGTGGGTCTGGGGTCACATGTAGGCCAGACAGGTAAGGATGGCAGTTTCCTTCCCTAAAGGGCATTAGTAACATTAGCATAACATATGAGCTAACAGTTATCCTGGGCAGGCATACTCCCAACAATTTATCCACTAAACAAAGGAGAGCCAGACAGAGAGGTACCAGCTCCTGCTACGCAAATGATTGACACTGTTTCAAACTATTAAGCGAGTCTCTCTGATTGGCCAGAACTATAGAAAGTTTTAGGGACCAGCATGGCCAAAGGCAGAGATGTGCTGATCATCTGGAGAGAGAGAGAGAGAGAGAGAGAGAGGAAGACAGAAAGCAGCTTCGCAGACCCACAGAAACAGAGACAGAGCGGCTGTGAAAATCTACAAGAGATTTGGGAAGTGTTGTAAAATTTACAGAACAGGATTAGAGATGGTGAGATAACAAGGTGTAGAGCTAGATGAACACAAGCAGCATCAGAGGAGCAGGAAAGCTGACATTTCAGGTCTGGACCCTTCTTCAGATAGAGATTATTAGAGATTAGATATTAGAGATAGTATTGTTTCATAATAAAAGCCACTGTAACGTTGCTGATTATGAAGTTGGGAATATTCTGCATGAGTACTGACTTGTGTTTGTAATGATTTGACCACTTCAGTATTGAGAGACACCCGGGCAAATTCCTTTATAACATCCTGGTTGGAGTTGTCTAACTTGTTCCGCAGAAGAACTAGACAACACAGATAATTAAAGAGGAAGCAGGGAGGAAGATGACGAGCTTCATTTTGACGAAGTGAGTTGTTGTGATCTGGAACACACTGACTGAAAGGACAAACAAAACAACTTCAACAGGAAGTCAGATAAATGTTGGAAGGAAGACAAGTTGCACGCAGACGGGAATAGAGCACAGAGACTAGGACTAATATGGACACTCTCTCAAAGACCCATGGGATAAAAAAAAACACAGTAAGGCAGTGAAAATTGGAAATGGACAGCCTGATTGTAATGGAGCTTCACTTGAAATCTACAAACCAAGTCAGAACAGCGTGCCTTATGACCAGGGAGGTTGGGAGATGGGCCAGTACAGCTGTAATGGGCTGACAGGCCTCTTTTGATGCTGTGTGATTCAATGGCTCGATGATCATTTTGTCACTTTCTTTAAGAGCCCACAGGGAAATGATGCGGTTGTTTTGCTGGGATTCATCTGACTATAAACGTCTGGTAATGTAGAGGGTAATTATGTCCGACAGTCAGTTCCACATTTCGTCTTGGCACCGTCCGAAAGAGGGAGGGAGGTGGGGGACAGAGAGAGAGAGAGAGCCATGCTGATGGATTACTGAATTTCAGTAGCGCCTCCTGGAGCAGCTCAAGACTGACAGCAGTAAAGGGAAGGGAGAAAGCTCAAGGCACTTTGTGTAACCGTGCACCATCACACAGATCTCCATTAAATCTGTCAGGCAGGGACTCAGCGCCAACAGGAAACTACACCACCCCCCACCCCCTAAGGGAGAACCAGACCCACACAGACACCCAGTGTCGATGGGCACCTGATCCTCCAGGCACAGCCACCACGTTGAGGATACCCTGTCCTGCCTGGGGCAACTAGCAGCAATTGGGATAATAGGAAAAGAAAGAAAGATTTGCATTTGTCTAGCACCTGTCTTGACCACCCGGCATCTCAAAGCCAATGAGAAGTGTTTGAGGCACAGCCATTGGTGCAATGTAGGAAGGAGGCAACCAATTTGCACACAGCAAAATCTCACAAACAGTGATCTGATAACGACCCAAGGTTTTTTTTATTGGCGTGGTGTTGATATCAACCAGAACAAGGGGAGAATTCCCCTGCTCCTATACGAGGGGAGACAATGGCCCAGTGGTATTATCACTGGGCTATCACTCCACAGCCCCAGATAACGTTCTGGGGACCCGGGTTCGAATCCTGTCATGGCAGATGGTGGAATCTGAATTCAATAAATATCTAGAATTAAGAATTTAACGATGACTGTGAATCCATTGCCGAATGTCAGGAAAAACCCATCTGGTTCACTAATGTCCTTTAGGGAAGGAAAATGCCATCCTTACCTGGTCTGGCCTACATGTGACTCCCAGACCCACAGCAATGTGGTTGACTCATAACTGCCCTCTGGGCAATTAGTTGGGCAATAAACACTGTCTAGCCAGCAACACCCTCATCCCATGAATAAATAAAGAAAACAAGACCTAATTGTTGATAAGAAGGTGTGGAGCTGGATGAACACAGCAGGCCGAGTAGCATCAGAGGAGCAGGAAAGCTGATGTTTCGGGTCTGGACATCTCTTCAGAAATTCAGAAGGGTCCAGACCCAAAACGTCAGCTTTCCTGCTGCGTTCATCCAGCTCTACACCTTGTTATCTCAGATTCTCCAGCATCTGCAGTTCCTACTATCTCTCAAGACGTAATTGTTGACATTCACCAAGCAGACGAAGCCCCTGAAGGGGGCAACAGCTCAAACATGGAAAGTCCACTGGGTCCTTGGTACTGGATTTTTTGAGACCTGATGGGGACTCGAACCCAGAACCTTTTGATTCAGGGACTACGCACTGAGCCACAGCTGCTGATAGTGACATTAGGGGGCGATGGGAGTATTCTGTAACTTACTTTTGAAAGATTCCAGATTTTCTGCCAGATTTTCTTCATCTTTATACTTCTCATCTTCCAGAAATTCCTGAAGATTCAAAATGTAAAAAGACAAAGCACTAAGCAGTCAATTTACACGGTACATAGGCCACCAATCACACTCCCCTCATTATCTCCGTTCCACACCCAGTGTCCTGCTCATTCTAAACCTGAAGACAGTAAAATAATCACTTTGTGGGACTATCAACAATCTTCACAAAGATGTGCAACATTCTGGGAAATGGGATAAATACAGGAAAGATGTTCCCGATGAGCAAGGAGTCCAGAACCACAGGTCACAGTTTAAGGATGCGAGGTAGGCCTTTTCGGGCTGAGATGAGGAGAAATGTCTTCACCCAGAGAGTGGGGGCCCTGTGGCATTCTCTGGCACAGAAAGTAGTTGAGGCCAGAACATTGAATCCCTTCAAGAAGGATGAGCTATAAGGAGAGGCTAGAAAATCTGGGGTTGTTTTCTCTAGAGCGGGAGAGGCTGAAGGGAGACTTGATAGAAATCTATAAAATGATGAGATGTGTAGATAGGGTTGACGGTCAGAATCTTTTTCCCCAGAGTTGAAGTGTCATATGCTAGAGGCATGCATTTAAAGTGAGAGGGGGAAGTTCAAAGGAGATGTGAGGGATAAGTTTTTTTACACAATGTCGAACGCACTGCAAGGGGTGGTGCTGGAGGCAGATACATTAGGAGTGTTTAAGGGACTTTTAGATAAGCACATGAATACGCAAGGAATGGAGGGATATAGACCAAGGGCAGGCAGAAGGGATTAGTTTAATTTGGCTTCATGTTCGGCACAACATCACAGGCCAAAGGGCCCGTTCCTATGCTGTACTGTTGTATGTTCTAAGGATCTAGTTGCAGTTCTTAGAGCTAAGGTAAGAAGGGTTCACAGATCCTATTGATTTTGGACCCATTGCAGAACATCCGCAGTTAGCCCACGTCTGAAGGTACAGCATTTAATACCACTGAGTAATTTAACTTCACATGACAGAGTGGAAACGACACAATTTTAAACCACATCAAATCCACATCACGGGAACAGGACATACAGCACCACTGAGCCACAATGGTGTCTCGGCTCCACTCAAGCTCCGTCCTTCACCTTACCCTAGGAGAATATCGTGTGATTCACTTCATTCATACATATCCATCCACAGTAAAGACCATATCTTATTTCATTTTCTCCCTTCAGGGAGACGATGGCCTAGTGGTATTATCGCTGGACTGTTAATCCAGAGACCCAGGTAATGTTCTGGGGACCTGGGTTTGAATCCTGCCACAGCAGATGGTGGAATTTGACTTCAATAAATATCTGGAATTAAGAATCTAATGATGACCATGAATCCATAGTGGATTGTCAGAAAATCCCATCTGGTTCACTAATATTCTTGAGGGAAGGAAACTGCCATCCTTACCTGGTCTGGCCTTCATGTGACTCCAGACCCACAGTAATGTGGTTGACTCTTACCTGCCCTCTGGGCAATTAGGGATGGGCAATAAATGTTGGCCGAGCCATGGACAACCTCATCCCGTAAAAAAAAGTTTGACTGTGGACTGAAATGGGAAAACAACTGGAATCATGCAGCAATGTCAGCTTGTTCCATGTGTCAATGCAGAAGACTGACAAAGATGAGTGATCAGAGTTTTATAGAATTCAGGGGACAGCCTATTCAGCATTCCCTTTGGACCCTCAATGGTATTCCCATCGCTGGAGTGCAGTAACTCACCTAGGCTCCTTTCACCTTCCAAACCCACTGCCACTAAAGTCACCATTGTCTTACCAAACCCTATAGCCACACTCTCATTAGAAAGAGGTGACTGGTGGTGATTTAACCTGAGGGTCAGCACACCTCAGGCGAGGGGAGAGGTTGACGAGGAGGGTCCTTCATGGTAGTCTCAGCCTGTGCAGGAGTTGAACCCACACTGTTGGCATCACACTCATCATAAACCAGCCGTCTAGCCAACTGAGCTAACCAGCCCCTCATTACCACTGAGAAGCAGAACGGCAGCAGATACAGGTGAACACCAGCCTTCTGCACGTTCCCCTCCAAACCACTCACCGCCCTGACTTCGAACCTTCTCAAAGCAACTATGAATGGGTGATACACACTGGCCTGGCCAACAACATCCACATTCCACAAAAGATGAACAAGACTCATTCTGTGCCAATCTGGTTGGGAGGTGAAGGTATACACTGATTGTGGCTCCTCCAATAAGTAACACATTGGTTTGATGTGTCTGGTTCGATTCTAGAGGGAGGGCCACATTGAACATCACAAAGCCACTGCCTGTTCCCCTCTGCAGTGCCAAGCTCCTCAAATGGTTGGAACTTGAAGCAGCCCCAGGCTTGAAGTGGTCTGACCTCCACAAAACTGGGCACTGGTGCCAACTCGTGTACTCTTAATCTGTGCCAATGTCAGCAGTGCCCAGGCAGCTGAGAGCTGCCTTTTCCAGCCCAAGAGAATCCAGAAGGCCTGCCAAGAAAAACTGAAACTGGAGTCCCTTTCCAAGTGTTCAGGCTGCCCTCGAATCTGCAACACCATTACAACCTGGAGTTAGGCCCCTCACTGTGGACTGTGTCACTACAGTACACGGCTTGGGTTGTTGGGGCAATTAGTCTGTCCCAAGTGAATAAGCCCACAACACTGGGGAGGGGTGGGGGGTTTCAGTATAGATCCCAAGATCAACGGCAGCAAGAGGAGGTTACGATTGTAACTTCATTGTCTCAGAGCAGAATGTGAAACCTTCGGAAATAACACTGTCCTGGGCGGCGATGCCTCCATCCCACCCCCCAACATCCACCACCCACCCCTCACACCCACCCACATATCGCTCAGGAAAGCCCTCCCTGATACTTTCCAATCAGTCCATTCAGAGATGGTATTACCCACCTCTGGAGCAGGTGGGACTTGAACCCAGGCCCTCCAGGCTCAGAGGCAGGGACGAATGAGAAGAGGAACAATTTAACAACAAGCTGTAGTTTATCGCATGATAGCAGGAGGGTCGCAGTCACATTGTCTTAGCAATTATGTCTAACCGGCCAATCGGGAGCCAGGGATCACACATCTGGACCCCATCAGGGCCAGAGCTGGATTCCTTGATTCTCCTCCTGGGTCTGGGTAACATCATCACATTGGTTTAACAAGGTGTAGAGCTGGATGAACACAGCAGGCCAGGCAGCATCAGAGGAGCAGGGAAGCTGATGTTTCAGGTCTGGACCCTTCTTCAGAAATGGGGGAGGGGAAGAGGATTCTGAAATAAATAGAGAGAGAAGGGGAGGCGGATGGAAGATGGATAAAGGAGCACATAGGGGGAGAGAAGACGGACAGGTCAAAGAGGCGGGGATGGAGCCAGTAGAGGTGAGTGTAGGTGGGGAGGTAGGGAGGGGATAGGTCAGTCCAGGGAGGACGGACAGGTCAAGGGGGCAGGATGAGGTTAGTAGGTAGGAGATGGGGCTTGAGGTGGGAGGAGGGAATAGGTGGGAGGAAGGACAGGTTAGGGAGGCAGGGACGAGCTGGGTTGGTTTTGGGATGCGGTCGGGGGAGGGGAGATTTTGAAGCTTGTG